TTGCCATATTGAGAGAGACTTCAGAGTCCAGAGCCCCAACAACTGCTATTAGAATATTGTGGGTGTCACATGCATAGTTGGGGACCAATCTTTCCTGCACTGAGAGGAGTCGCAGGGTGGCTTGGCAGGTCCTTCTTGCATTGTCGTAGCTGTCATAGACGCGGAAGCCCAAAGTGCGGTTGGGCAGTATGTGAGGGCTCTCATTGATCTCCTTCACTGCAAATGCCAAGGCCATGAGATGCTGGTAATTCTTGGGGACCATGCTGAAAGGAGAGGTGACAGCTGAGGCTCAGTATGGAAGTCAGCACCTATGAAGCATGACTAGAAAGAAAGTGCCTTGAGTTTGGGGAGTGTGCTGAAAAAAAGTGCGTCATATAATGAGGGTCAGCATTGGCAGAGCAAAGCAGTATGCATATCCACAGCAAATGGCAAGCTGCTTTGAATTTGATGGGACTCAGTCCCTGGGACCAAGTGACAAGGCTGCATGCAAAAATGGGAAAAGTGAGAAAGTGGGCTTCAAACAAGGATACTGAGAAATTGAAGTTGCCTTAGGGAAAAATTGCATAGCAAAATGAATGAATGATCAGTGACTCTTCGTGTGTGTGTGTAGTGTCCATGCCTGCATTCATATGCTACCTGATTCTGCGGTAGTTGGAGGGAATTAAAGAGACTTAAGGCTTTAATGGAAGTTTTTCCCCAAGTGCGTGCATGTAAAGTTTCAGCTTCAGCTAGTTTCTAGGCAAGAGCTTGTAAATGATCATGGCTGTGATAGATGAAGTACAAAGAAAAACAGACAGCATCTCAATCCTTACATGAGCCCTTTCAGTGAGTCTGGTGCAGGTTCTTCAGTGAAAGTTATTGATCTAGACCTCAAGAAACCATGAGTAGCAATGCTGCCAAGAAGGATGTCTCCTGGCAAGTAGGCCTGCAGAGGGAAGGGTGGCTCCCATCTGCTACATTTGAGAATACGTGCCAGGCACACACTTTGGGAAAAGAGAGCAAGGAGCAAGACCCCCACAAGCACCATGCTTAGCACAAGGACAGCTCTTTTCTAGACACCCAGACTTTCCTGTTTACTCTTGACAACTCTGCTATGCAATACTATTTACTAACAGTAATTTTGTCTGCTGACAGTTTGGGCAGCTGATATGGAAGCATCCTACATTGTAGCACAGACACCTTGCCTGTTCCTAGTTGCTTTCTAATCTCTGCCTTGTTCAAGAAATTTTTATAGCAGCCTTCATGGTTTTCAGTGTATTGTGGCCTGCAGCCATGTGAATCTCCAGGGTTTTTTTTTCCAGCAGCAGAATTAATTGCTGCCCTTTTGATGATTATACTGCAGGGTGACTACTGGTTCAAAGTTGCAATTTCCCTGTTGAACTGTTGGGGGGACAAATATGGTTGTTGCATCTAAACATGGGGGAATTAATGCTTGGAATTTCTCAATGAAAGGGGATTTGTGGTATTTTCTGTGTGCAGAATAATGAAAAAAATAGTCTTGTTTGTCATGTGCATGCAGATAGATTGCACAGTTCAAGAAAACAGGTAAACAATCGAGAGGTTAAAATTCATTCCACTGTAGCAGTCCAGAATTTTTACTCAGGGAACATGGGATTTTATACAAGCTTCTTATATGAAGTAGTTACTATGTACTCCTGTTTTTCCATTCATGATCTTTCCCATGACCTTTTGGAAACATTTTGTTTCCATTCTGCATGATGTGTGGAAGATATTTAGGCACTGGAAATTTTTAAAGTATATTTTATCAATGGATTTGTGGGTGCTGAATATTTTCATCCTATCTCTTCCTACTCGTCCCCACACTTTTCATTGTTTTTCCTATGAAATTGGGCTTTTGTAATTCAATTCAATACTCATTGCCTTAGACAAGGGCCTGGCTTCCTTATTGGGATCAAGATTGGAGAAAATATAAGAGAGCCCATGCTTATCCCCCATATTCCAACTCTCCTCAAAAGTTCTATTAGGCTCAAGGCCGACTTTCTTTGGGTTGCAGTACATGATCTAGAGGTGATTCAAACCAGACAACCTGGTGGGGAGTTTGGGAGGTTTGACCTTCCTGTTTATTCAGCTAGCTCTCCCCTGAACATCCATCCAGTGTGGAGAAAGCATTGTATGAGCATCCTAATCTGGAAAATAAGACGCAATTTCCTCTTTTCAGGGTCTACTTTCTTTCTCTTGAAATAAATGAATTCCCAGTAAGGCAACCTTTCAAGAAATGGAACATGTATGATGTGATGTCTTTGTACTCTTCCATCATTCTGATTTAATCAATTTGCAGAGATAAATGAATGCAAATGGGTTCAACTGGTACCAATTAATGTACAGCTCTCAGTGTTGAAACATGAAGACCATCAAAACATAAGGGAAGACATGCAGGATCAGATCAATGGTCTAGAAATCCAACATTCCATACATATGATGGCAAACCGGCTGCCCAGAGGACATGTCTGCCTGGACTCTGTTCTGCTTGCTGTGTCTCTGAGTGCAAGTTCCTGGTGAGCTTGTCCAGTGCTTGGCAGCCCTCACCAGGTGTGGAGATCCCACCACTGCTAGCAACATCCTTCTTTTGTGCCACTAGTGCTTTGTATTGCTGCACCTGTCATGGAAAACTTGTCATGAGAAGCTCAGTAGGAATGGAGCCCTACACATCAACTAGTCATTTCCTTCATCTATGACATATGCAGAACTGCTTGTCTTGCCAGCTGCTCATCCTGCGCTCAGTGATAATTTGCAGAATTCCTTTTGCCTGGCTCCCTTTGCAGAACTGAGCTGAGTGTGAGATGAAGCAGGCAGATGCTGCATGGATAGTTGGGGTACATGCCAAGACTATTCCCAGCTTTTCACTCTCTTCATATTGATGTAGCATGTTCATTCCTCCTCTAGGTTCCAAGCACCCATGAGTAGAGTCATGCAAAGAATCCACTATGTGAAGAAAAGTTTATAGCATCTCCATTTCAGCAATTCACAGGAACATGTTACTTTGATTGTTTTAAATGAGTATCAGTAGAGAATGATAGGTTTCAGGTCTAGAATGTGGGAAGTAGGCAGCTATAGTCAGGGTGCATGGAGAAGAGTGCAGGTGGAGGATGGAGACTGGTGCCACGTTGGAGTGCCAGAGGTAAGAGGCACAACCTCCAACAGTCCAAGTTTAGGAACTGATGATAGGATAGGGTTGAGACAAATGCACAATCTAGGTGAAGACCAAAGGTGAGAGACTGAAAGGGACTCGCATTTAGGAGCAACCTGAGATAGGAAGGAGAGGACGCAGACACCTGTTTGGGTAGGTGGAGACAGGATAAAGATAGGAATAGGCTGGAGCCAGGCAGGAGTTAGGTGGGTGAGCAGGCAGGACGGCACACTGGATGAGTGCTGAAGGCTAAGTAGACTGTGATTCCAAGCTTGAAAATGGGACATCTTATACTGAAATTAGTTTTTTCCATGAGGTATGTTTGAATCACTTCTCTTAAGCATCACAACTCCATAGACAAGAAATGAGTGGGAAGGATAGGCATGTGTTTTTCAATGTTTTCTTCTAATTAGCTGTTCTCTGTTGCTCAGATTGGGTCTCAGCACAATAATGTAGCATTTGGGGAGAAAGTTGCAACACAGCAATTCAGTGCTAAATGTTAAAATGGAGAAGATCTCCAGCAATCCAGTCTGAGAAGCTAAAATGGAGAAGCAACAAGCGAGGACAGAGTGGAAGTCAGCACCTACGAAGCAAAGCTGCACGTGCATGGCTAGAAAGACAGTGCCTTGAGGTTGGGCGCTAGGCAGATAATGAGCAAGTCACAAAATTGTTAATACTATTTATTTATTTTATTCTTTGGCCAGGGCAACTTAAACTATACTGTTTTATATTGTGTTTATTTACTTATGATTGTGAGCTGCCCTGAGGCTTCAGCGAATGGGGCGACATAGAAGTTCTCTAAATAAATAAATAATAAAAAAAGAGAATCACCATGGGCAGAGCAAATCTATATGGATATACAGAGTTTGCTTTGAGTTAGATGGAACTCATCCCCTGAGTACAGGTGGAAAAGCTGCATGGGAGAAGCTACCATATAGGGAATAAGTACTGTGGGAATTTTTTAAAAAATAGGTAAGCATGAGGGAGCTGCCTTAGGGAAAAGTACATTATAGAATTAATGAATCATCATCATTGACTCTGTGTGTGTGTGCGCGCAGTTTGTGCCTGCATTAATCTGCAACCTGATTCTCTGGTGATTGGATGGAATGAACTCAGGACTGGGTGAATGTAAAATTGACATGGATGGAACACAGAGTTCTTTATGGATTTTGTTTTCCAGTGTGTGCATGAATGGCTGCAGCTTCAACTACCCTTTTGAGGAAGAGCTCTGGGACTGATCAGTGTTGTGAAGAAGAAATAAAAACAAACAGCACTGCAATCTTACATGTGTTCATTGAGTGAGTCTAGTGGTGGATTTTGAGTTAAAGTTATTGCACTGGATCTGAAGGAACCATGGATCCTGATGCTGCCAATAAGGATGTCTCCTGGCACATAGGTCTGCAGTGGGAAGGGCAGCTTCCAAATGCTGCATTTGTGAATGTGTGCCAGGCACACGCTTTGGAAAAACAGTGCCAGAATCAAGACCTCCAAGAGCACCATTCTTTATTCAGTACCAATTCTTTTCCTAATACACAGCACAGAAATCCCTGTTCATTGTGGACAACAGCTCTGTCTGTGGAGCACTCTGGCCTGGCAATCCCTGCTTTAGCAGTAGTTCTGTCTGCTGACTACTGTGTCTGCTAATAGAGAAGAATCCTACATTGCACCATAGGCGCCTTGACTATTTCTAGTCCCTTCCTCATCTCTCCCTTGTTCTCGGAATATTTATGACTGCCATTGCCATACATTTTATTTAATGAGTCCTGGGGTCATTGGGAAGTCCAGAGGGGTTCTATGGAGCAGCAGGATTAATTGCTGCCCTTTTAATAATTCAAATGCAAATTAAGTACCAGTTAAAAGTTGTGATTCCTCTGTTGAAACAATCAGGGAAGTTGTGCTTGCTGTATTAAAGCATATGCCTCATGCCCAGACTTCTTTCATCAGAATACTTCACTGAAAGAGCAGAACTATTTTCCACTGGGATTTTTTGTGTATATGGAATTTAACTTTGTTTTTCTTATGATCGCACAGATATTGCTCAGTTTAAATAAAAGGTTAATCATTGGGAGGTTAAAGCTTTAAGGCTAATGCAGAGGTTGGGAAGTTTTAATCAGGAAGCAGGAGATTTTATAAGGCCTTTTGGTAAGAAGCTGTTATTGTGAAGTCCTGTTCCTATTGTGAGCATCAGAGGAAGTCTGCACATCCTAATTCTATTCTTAGCATTTCCTTCTCTTCATTTTGATAGAGCATGATAGTTCCCTCTGCCGATTCCACCCAGGTATGAGTAGAGATGTGCAAGGAATCTGTTAGATGCATGTGGTGTTTCACAAGGGAAGAGGAACCTCAACACTTCCCCACTCCATGGCATGACATCCAAGAACAACCTTGGTTTCATTAATACTCCAGTTTATTTGGGGAATTAGCTGCTAACCAGGAGTTAACATGGTTCAAAGTTAAAGGAGACAGCCTTCCGGCCTTGATAGAAGGGCTAAACCAGCATGTATAAGCATACACCCTTGGGGTGGTCTAGGACTGGGAGTGTCACCTCCCTGGAGTCCTTGTTGCAACCTTTCCACAAACAAGGAGATGGGAAGCCTGTCCTCCTTTCTGCCCCACAGTCTCCTTAGTCACACGGAGAAAGCTGGGAGACTTGCCACTTGGCTCTGTAGCTGCTCCAGTGCTTGTCTTGGTGAATGCTCAGGAGAAAGAGCTGCTTAGGCTTACCAGTCCTCTCCCCACAAGACCCGTACCAGCTCTTGTTGCTCAGTGTCCTATGCCTCCTTTCCAGCCTCAGGGTGCAGCCCCAGGCCTGGCTTTTGTCTCTGCACCTTCCATTTCTAGTCTGCATGGTGTCAGCAAGCAGTTCTCCATCCTCTCCATCCTTCTGATCTCATTCCTCTCTATGCCCTTGTTTCCCTCCCCTTTTCTTTCCCTTGCCTGTCCTTTATCTCACCATGCTCCTTCATACAGAAGTTGCTCATTGTGTTCAATCTCCACCCCATAAAGGCAGCTGACTCCTCTGGTAGCAGCCAATGCACTGCTCTGAGGAGTCCCTCCCTGGGAGAAGGAAACAATTTCTCTTCTCTGCTCCCTGGACTCTGAGCGGGAGGCAGTAACCCCCAACAACCTCTCACAGAGCAGAAAATCCATTTGATTCCATAGTATTGGCTTCCCAGGCTCCAGTTAACTTAGTGGTAGAAAGTCTAGGTTCCTGATTATTATGACCAGGATTTGAGGGGTGCTTGCCATGAATTGAGCCCTGTGTGTTGAAGAAGCAGCACCTTTCTTTCATGCCCACTACTGCTCTGAGAAGCAGAGAGTGTGTAAGAAGTTTAGCTACCAGGAATGGGACAAGTCAAAGCTGGGAGTCTGAGTATGAAGTAGCCACTAAAGCAGCTCATGTTGCTGTGGCCAGCGGGGAATCCTCTGCTGCAGCTTTCTGGGCTTGCAGCTCCACTGCATCATTTTTGCCCACCTGTTTCATGCAAACACCTCCAGGAGTTTTCCTGGTCCTGCAGGCAATTGCAGGATGAATCATGCTCTGATCCCAATAATAAAAACAGAAATAAGATGTTCTAAATACTACATATATCAGTTAAAATACTTCATCAGACTTCCACAAAAGGAAAATTCTTCTCTCAGATTGAACCTAGAGAGGTCAGATTAGCAGCAATTGCTCAGTGTCAGGTGTACATATGCATATATGTGCATCAGTCCAGAAGTATGATTTTTGTTTTTCCAGGTCAGCATTATTTGCTACAGAAATATTCTAAAGTCATCAGAAATTAAAAGAAGCTGAGGGTCATCATGAAGAGCAGCTGAAATTGAATATGGGGGTATGAGTCAAAATTGTCATATGTATATGAATTTTTCTATCAGGTACAATTGAAGCACTTCTCCTAAGCAGCGGAACCTTTTAGAGTATGAATTAAATGAAAGGATGGGCAAGTGTTCTTCAATATTTTCTTCTAATTAGCTGTTCTCTGTTGTTCAGCTCAGGTCTCAGCACAATAATGTAGCATTTGGGAAAAAAGATGCAACACAGCAATCCTGTGCTGGAAGATAAGATGGAAAATATCTCCACAGCAACCATGGATTTCCCCTTGGTGCTGAGGTAAGAAGGAACAAAAGAGAGCCAAACACTGCAAAAGACCAGCATGCTGAAGGTGATGAACTTGGCTTCATTGAAACTGCCGGGCAGCTTCCTGGACAGGAAGGCCACAGTGAAACTGATGGTTGCAAGAAGGCCCATGTAGCCCAAGGCATAGTAAAACATCATCCCTGAGCCCTCATTACATTCCAATATGATTTCTTCAGCCATGGAGAAAAGGTCAACATCTGGGAATGGGGGTGATGTTCCCAGCCACACAGTGCAGATGCCTGCTTGGATGAGACAGCAGGAAAGGACAATGACACTGGCCTTATCCCTTCCCAACCACTTCCTTATCCTGGATCCTGGCTGAATAGCCATAAAAGCCAGAACAACCAAGAGGGTTTTTGCCAGCACAGAAGAAACAGCAACTGAGAAGATGATGAAGAAGGCAGTTTGTTGGAGGAGGCAGGTGAGTTTCTGAGGCTTGCCAATGAAGAGCAAAGTGCAAAGGAAGCAGAGCAGAAGGGAGCTGAGCAGAGTGTAGGTGAGCTTCTGGTTGTTGGCTTTGACTATGGGAGTCCTGTGGTTCTTCATAAACACAGTCAGCACCAGAACTGTGATGAAGGAAAAGGCAAGTGCAAGGAGGGCTAAAGCGAGCCCCAAAGGCTCCTCATAGGACAAGAAGGTGGTGGCCTTTGGAAGGCAGAAATCCCGATTCTTGCTTGGATACTCTGTATCTGAGCATGCATTGCAATTATTCATGTCTGGGAAGGAAAGGAAGGGAAAGAGAGGGTGTTAAGCTTATTAAAAGAAGACAGGCAAACCAAAAGAATGGAATCGATGTCATAAACTCTTTATCAAAGGAAATCCTGAATGTCTGAAAAAACAAATGGAGAAGCCACCAACCTCAAACTCTGGACTGACATTTGTTTTGTTTACTTGTGGTGCTTGAACATGACTAACCAGGGAAATCTTTGCATGAGCAGAATTCTTCTTCCCATGATGCAAAGGTTTCAATTTGTCTCCTCTGTGGAAAGTGGGTTTGGGATGCCTTTCTGACCAGCCAGAATGGAAAGAAGGAGACTAGTGTTGCCTGTTCCTCATAGGTAGTGCCAGATGATTCCCTCCACCACCCTTACAACTCAGTGCTGTTCTCTTATCACCGACTAGCTTTTCTGTTGGCAGTGGTGCTCCCCTGCTAGTTGCTGGGTGACAGCGGAAATGTCCACTCTTGCCAAGTAGTTCTCATATATGATTCTTCACAGATTGCTGCTTTCTTTTTCTGTTTCATTCTAGCAAGAAACCCATGTTTGATCAAAGAAACTACAGAATAGGCCATTGTTGTGTTGTGTGGTTTCTACACAAATATGAAATCCATGATTGATTATGGGCAACACAACAGTCCAATCTGCGTCAAACAGCAATCATTGTTTGCGGATTCCCTCAAAGCCATCAGTCGGTATTTTACTATTTATTTATTAAATTTTTATGCTGTCCTATGCTGAAGAATTCTGTGTGGATCAGTACAACTATAACCATAAAATACTGTGTAAAAATCTAACATTTAAAACTACAGTGTAAAATAAAAAAAAATCTCCAAAGCAAAACCTAGGAGCAACACAAAGGCTGAACATAAAGAAAAACAGTTAAAAGTACAGATACTGAACAGCTAAAATATCCAGGAAAGCATTGAGTGAACCCTGTGCTGGAAGGAGCTCAATCTGTGCACCAAACTAATGGAAAGTTCATTCACCAAATGTGGTTCCACAGAGAAGTCTCTTACATGTTTGCCAAGGCATCGTACAAGAAACAGGGATTAGCAATCCGAGCACTGCAGTTTGAACCACTGCAGTTTTCCATCTCCAAATTCCAATCCAGACAGCTCATCCAGAAGGATGTTGTGAATCATGTTATGGAGACCCAATGTGTGATGGAAGAGAGGCAACACATTTCCCTTTCTCCAACTCCCTCCCTTACAAACCCTTCAGATTCATTTCAGCCACTGAAGAACAATCACTCTGATCTAAAAAACAGCCACTTTAAATATCTGTCCAATGAATGCATATTCCCTACCCTCCTGGGTTGCGATCTTCCCGGCTGGACATGGGATGCAATCATAGCAGCAGTACGGCTCTCCCTCCTTCACTTTTTTGCTGGAACCTGGATGGCAACTCTCAGTGCATACAGAATGTGGCCGTGTCTAATATGCAAATTTTAAAAAAATGGAAAATAAAGAGGATAAATATATGGACAGAAATCCTCTTTAAACATGGAAGGTTCTCATGTCAGGGGATATGTTACAAAACTGTCTTGGCAATTCACTGATGTGCAAATCTGAATTCACTACCAAGAATTGTTAGTGTTTTTCCTTTGGTGGTGAGTGCCCACCGAGATCCCTTTTTGAAGAAAGAAATACATCAAAGACAAGAATAGTTTACTGGATGTTTTGTCATTCCTGGACAGTGCACTTCTTGGAAACATATAAGATAATGCTAGACTGAGTTTATTTTATTAGAAGGGTGCCTTGAACTGCTTACGAATCTATTGACTTCAGCAGGCAGATGATCAATCTTCACTGGAAACCAGTAGCATCGTCATTATGGATTTCTTCAGCAACACTCTTAATCCCAGAGATAATATCCTACAGATGGTTGTTGTTAGGCGCGAAGTCATGACGACCCATCATGACCCCATAGACAACATTCCTCCAGGCCTTCCTGTCCTCAAACATCCCCCGGAGTCCACTTAAGTTCACACTAACTGCTTCAGAGGCTCCATCTATCTGTCTCATTCTCTGCTGTCCCCTTCTTCTTTTGCTGTCAATTGTTCCCAGCATTAGGGTCTTCTCCAGTGAGTCCTTCCTTCTCATTAGGTGGCCAAAGTATTTGAGTTTCATCTTCAGTATCTGGCCTTCTAAAGAGCAGTCAGGGTTGATCTCCTCTAGGATGGACTGGTTTGATCTCCTTGCAGTCCAAGGGAGTCTCAGGACTCTTCTCCAGCACCAAAATTCAAAGGCTTCAATTCTTCAGTGCTCAGTTTTCCTTATGGTCCAACTTTCACTAGAATTAACTGAACAACCGTGGGATCAACAAGCTCATTATAATATTTATCCATATTTTTCTTTCACCTCATTTGTGATTCAGGGCTGTAAGTACACCAGAGAATGGGCTGAAGGACATGGCAGAAGTCCACTATGCAGATGGACCAAGTTATCTTGCTGCCACTGGAGATACCTTACTTCAGCTCACAGAGACATCATGGAAACAGAACTGCAGCAGAGAAGAAGCACTTGTGAAAGTCTAAAGGGGGACAGAAAGAGGAGCCTGGCTGGGGAAGAACAAACTTACTCCCAAAACTATACCACTTGGAATGCTAATCATGTCTCAAAAGCTGAAGGAACTTTTCATGAAGGACTGAACTGGCTGTGTAGAATACCTTGGCTGAAATTCAACTGAGAAGGAAATCCTGCTTTAACAACCTTTGCACCATGCCCACATCACCACAACAGAGTACTGAATAGACCGAGCTCCTCAAACAGAAATTGCATGGATCCAACAGAGTAACATCCATTAAGTAGTAACAGCTGAAGCAGATGCCAGGAGTAGTGAAAAGGAAAGGCAGCCAGCAAGGATGCATGGTGGGTGCTTCCTGCTCTCCTCAATTCCAAGGCTGAGAAGAGCACACGTGGTGTAATTCTGGTGTCTGCAGCCTTGGAATAGGGGCCAAAAATGGCATTGTGCTTAAAACCGTCTGCTGATTAAACACTCATAAAAAGAGGACCTTCTGGACACTTCTGTAGCATCGTTGGGCTCCTGCCTTAAGGTTTCCAAACACATATGCTGCACCATATCTCAACTTGGGATACAGGAGCAAATGATCATTTTAGGAAAAATAAGGAATGTGGGAAGGGTTGCTTATGGGCAGAGCAGAGGTGAACTTTCTCTGCCGTCCTCCCATCCTGCATTTTTTTTTTTTTTTTTTTTGGTTAAGCCTTTAAAATGACTTTTTCAGGACCTAGCTGTCTTTCTTTTTGGCTGACTTTCCAATGAAGACATGTATACAGCAAACAATTAATTACAGCTTCATTGTGAACGTTTTATACTGGAATTCTCAGAGCGCTATTGTGACAGACTTTGGCTGGTGGTGATCTCAAGTCTATGGCTGGTATAAGAACCAGACTCTGGCTTTTCTACATCAAACTAAATATTTTTGACATATGTAGGAAATATTCTGGTTGAATTTGCATGGCTGTAATTTAATGGAATATTGAAAATTCTGGCTGTGATTTTTATTTATTATTTATATATTTATTTAGAGGGCTTCTATGTCACCCCATTCACCGAAGCCTCGGGGCAGCTCACAATCATAAATAAATAACATAATATAAAACAATATAATTTAGCTGTATAACAGTAAATATTAAAAAATCTGAAATTAATTTAATTGCATTTAAATTTCTTTCAGTGATTTTGAATCAACAGTGTTGCTAGCTAAGAAAGCCCTCCATGTGTTAGTCCTCTTTCTCTTATGTATTCACTTCACTCAATATGCTTCTTTCA